AACACTACTACATAACTTTTGTAGATGATTATTCAAAATATACAAAAGTTTCTCCTAAGGACTAAAGATGAAGCTGAAAACTTCTTTCTTATTTATAAGGCAGAAGTTGAAAATCAGTTAGATAGGAGAATCAAACGGGTTAGATCTGATTGAGGTGGTGAATATGGATCTAATTTCTTAAAAGATATTTGTGAAAAGAATGGCATAATTCATGAAACTTCAGCCCCCTATTTTCCTCAGTAGAATGATATAGCCGAAAGGAAAAATAGAACATTAAAAGAGATGATGAATTCTTTACTAACAAGTTCAGGGTTATCTGATAACATGTGGGGGAAGTTATTCTATCGGTAACATATATCTTGAATCGAGTTCCTCATAAGAAATTAGATTCTACCCCATATGAATTATGGAAATGATACACTCCTACTTTACAATGCCTGAAAGTGAGGGGGTGTCTGGCCAAAGTGGGTTTGCCAGACTTTAAGAAGTCCACCATCGGACCTAAAACCGTTGATGCAATGTTTATAGGGTATGCTACGAACAGTGATACATACAGATTCATGCTTTTACAAGATTATTCTATTTATGAGTCAAGAGATGTTGTTTTCTTTGAAAATAGTCTTCCTTTAAAGGAACCGAGAATAAATGTTGAAACACAAATATAATATATTCCATCAACTTCTTTTAGTATTCCTGCTAGGTCTTATCAAGAAAATGATTTCGAGCCTAGAAGAAGTAAAAGGAAAAGAGTTGAAACCTCTTTTGGACCAGACTTTATTACTTCCTTTATTCTGAGATAAATGATTTAGACTCCATTTCAGATCCTATAGCTCAAAATTTTATGTTAGATGAGGATCCTAAAACTTTTGAAGAAGCTATAAGATCTATCGATGCTAGTTTTTGGAAAAGCACTATTAATGATGAACGAGAATCGATAATGTCTAATCATACTTGGGAATTAGGTGACTTGCCTAAGGGATTCAAACTAATCTACAATAAATGGGTATTCCGGAAGAAACTGAGGCCAGATGGTTCGATTCAGCGGTACAAGGTAAAGTTAGTCGTCAAAGGGTTCACTCAAAGGTTTGGGTTAGACTACTTTGATATATACTCTCATGTTACGAAAATCTCAACGATTAATGCATTATTTGCACTAGCCTCTATTCATGAGTTGTAGATACATCAAATGGATGTTAAGACTGCTTTCTTGAATGGGGATCTAGATGAGGAGATTTACATGGAGCAACCACTAGGTATTGAAACACCCACTAGGTTTTGAAGCACTTGGTATGTAAGGCAAAGTCTGTAGACTTAAAAAGTCACTTTATGGACTTAAGCAGGCTCCTAAATAGTGGTATGAGAAATTCCATAAAACTATTCTTAGTTTTGGTTTTGTTGTAAATGGTTCGGATGCTTGTGTTTATTCGAAGATGTTTGGCACTGAATGTGTCATCATAAGCCTGTATGTTGATGACATATTGATTTTCAGTTCTAACATTGAATCCATTAACAAAGTTAAGAGTTTCTTATCCACAAAGTTTGAGATGACGGATTTGGGAGAAGTCGATGTAATTTTAGGAGTCAAAGTTACCAAAACTAAAAAAAGATTTTCTTTAAGTCAAGCACATTATATAGAAAAAGTGCTAAAGAAATTTGACATTTTTGATGTTGTCCCTATTCGAACTCCTTATGACCCTAGCATACATCTTGTTAAGAATAAAGGAAGTAGTGTTTCCCAAACTGAATATGCTAAATTAATCGGAAGCTTAATGTTCTTAATGAACTATACTCGGTCTGATATTACTTATGTTGTGAGTAGACTGAGTAGATATACTTATAATCCAAGTGGTGAACACTGGATTGCTCTTAAACACTTACTGAAGTATCTTAAGGGTACTTTGGATTGAAAACTTGAGTTTGTTGGCTTTCTTGCGGTACTGGAATGATATTGTGATGCCAACTGGGTTTCTGATAATGATGAGGTAAGCTCAACGAGCGACTATGCTTTTAGTTTGGGTGGAGCAGTAATCTCGTGAAAATCATCAAAGCAGACTTGTATTGCTCGTTCTACCATGGAGTCAGTGTTTATAGCTCTTGACCTAGTTGGGCAAGAAGCCGAGTGGCTCAGAAGCTTGTTAGTAGATATTCCGTTATGGGAAAGATCGACTCCTCCAATTTCATTGTTGTGTGATTCACAAGCTGCGATATGTGTGGCTAAGAACCATACTTACAATGGTAAGAAAACACATTTGCATAAGACATGAATCATTTAGACACTTAGTAAAGAATAGAGTGCTCTCTTTAGAGTATGTGAAGTCAAAAATGAACCTAGCAGATCCACTTACCAAAGGGTTAAGTCAGAAGCTAGTCTTAGATTCATCGAGGGGGATGGGTCTAAAGCTTATTTGTTGAGAAATTCATGGTGGATACCTAGCTTAGTTATCTAAGTTCCATGTGGTCAAACGAAACCATGGAAAGACTCATAGTGCACATTCATATTGCCTATCCCTATGATGAATAATATGCATGCCTAGGATGAGCTTAAGTGCTCTTAATAAATTCATAGCCCAGGCTTTGAGTGGTCTTAGTGAGAAAGACTTGATGAATTTATTGATTTTGGCTGAATATCTATTCTTAATAAGTTCATGACCCAGAGTGAGTGGGTAGTCCTAAATGAGAAGGAAATAATGAACTTACCGACAGAAAGGTTGAGTTTGTTAAACTCTTAATAAATTCAAATCCAATAATTTGAATGGTTCTAGTGAGAAGGACTTATTGAATTTATCGATAAATGAGGTTGAATATTTATTCTTAATGACTTCTTAGCCCACAGTTTGGGTAGTTCATTATTAATGAACTTGAAGAAAGTCACCAAATCCTTTGTGAGGTTGAGCTATTATAAAAGCTCTTAAGTATTTCATATCCCTGTTAAGGGTGGTTTATGTCGAGATAAACTTGATGAAATAACCTATGTAAGTGAGAAGGGTTATCCACATTCTATGAAAAATGTTGGGCCATTTTTCTAGCACACTTACTAGAATCCTGAGGTAAGATGGCCAAACATATACTTTTGTATATATATATCTTACACATCGAGGACTCAGGTGGATGAAGGGGTTAGTTGTGTGTTATGAGTTTACCTCCATCTTAGAAAGTTCCAGACTAGTTCACTTATCTAAGAGAAGGATTGCTCATCATCACTACGTATTAGTTCCAGATACGTTCACTAGTGCTTAAGCAACTAATCTCGCTATTGCTCTTTTGGAAAGTTTGTTTTCGAGTTTCAGAAGATTTTTTTCGCATTAGTGGGGGAATGTTGGTAATGCTCAATCCCACATAGTATTGGAAACACTATTGGGAATAGGTATTTAAGGTTTGGATTTCCTACTTCCTTGTTGAGCGAAAGAGAACAAGGGGGACTCTCGCGTACCGCCGCCGCTGCCGTCTGTCTCGTCTCGGCACGACACATCTCGTGGTCGTGGTCGTGGTAATACGTGTCTTCGACACGTCCGCACAGATACTATCTTTTTAGAGAAAATTCTTGAGGAATTTCTCTTTGAAAGAAACAAATGGAGAAATATGAAAGATTTCAACTGATATTTATAGGTTGCTGAGGAATGTTTAAATTCAAATGATAACAGTTGATTTATGAGTTATCAGAAATTAAACAACTTTTTTTAAATTAAATAAAAAACGTTAAGATGTATCTGGACTGATTTCCAGCATTGTAGAAAGGGGACAAGCTGTTAATATCAGGAGTTACAATGATTTAATTTTAGGAGTTATAATAGTTGAGTAATGATGCAATGAACCTGGACTATTTCTGAGTCAGATTCATCTAGACATTTCAGCTGTTACAAAGAAAGGTTTTAATCCTGATTTTATATGGATGATTTTAACCAATAGCCTATAAATAGAGAGTTGAATTCAGCTTCTCAACTCACTCTCAACATTCACAATTCACTCTCAAAGTGTTTTCTACACTTGTTTTCTACACTTGTTTTCTGTGTGCTTTCCTATCGAAGTGCAATATCACCAGCAGTCCACTCCGGTTTCGGGTGTATGAAATTCGGAGCGACCGTGTTAACCTCGGGGGACGGTCCGCCTACTGTAGCGATTACACACATCGGGGCGAATTCGTTTCTAAGGCAGTGATTTTACCACGACATGGTTTACGAATATGTTCCTTTTACATTATTGTTTATCTTTTATGTCAGTGCTAATGGTGTGGTTTTGCAGTCCATATTTACGACATACCTCAAACGTCTATAAACGGTTAGTTTTTTAAAATTTTCAACCAAACTCGTCACCTCGAGGTAACAAGTTTCAAGTGATTGTTACCTATGTGACCATTGTCCATCTGCCCGTTGACCAACGACTAGTTTTTTTGAATTTGAAAGAACTCGTCACCTCAATTTGACAAGTTTCATCGATATTTTTTAAAATTTATAAATTTTATTTTTAATTTAAAAAATAATTTTAAATAGACTCGTCACCTAGACGTGATGAGTCATATTAATGACAATAAAATAATGACCCATGTGGAACCCACTACTTTGGGACTGTTTAAAAATAATATTCAAGGGAACTTATCACCTCGACTTGACGAAGTTCCTGGTCCACTGTAGCAAATGTCATATTTTCCAAAATAAAATCTGGGAGGCCCAATATTCTAAATAATTGACCCGCTTGGGATATTGGGCCAAAAAAACATCATGATGATCATCTTGGGTCACTTTAATTAATTTTGGCCCACATTGAATAGGTCTTTTTTCTTTATTTATTTTATTTAATTATATTTAATTTGAATTTAAAATAAAGATAATCTAAAGATTTAGATAGGATTTTATTTTAATTTTTCACTTCAGTTTTGAGGATTAAAGCAAAATCGAAAATAAATTCGATCAAATTTACAATGCCATGTTAACACAATCTTCATTCAAAGATAGTGAAACAAAGATCAAATTACTATGTCACTATGTCAGGATTAATCAAAACCTTTATTTAAAGGAAAGCAAAACATAGAACAAACTCTGCACCATGATATCGTGAACCAATTCTACAACATTCGCAAACTTAAACCAGAAATTGTCATGATCGAACTCCATGGAAGGCACGACCTCATGAGGCGTCTTGGAAAGCAAAGGGCTGGAACCATCGAAACAAGTTCTTGTAACGATGGAGAAGACGATGGATTTCGACCAGGTGGTGCCTCTATTGGGGGAACTGCAGAGCATGATGTCGGTGGGTTGAGCTTGGAATCGTTGTTGACCAGAAACAAGTCGTTTTAGGGTACCCGGGAAGAACCAGAAGCCTTGGTATTGAACTAAACTTTCAGAATTTCCCCAGCTGTTCCCTTTGGGGAGAGTCGATAACATCTCTTCCAAGGATCTCTCGAACTCAACTTCATCGTCGTTCTCAATGTGTTTACTAATGGAATCTAAGCGGGACTCCATCAAGAACAAGCTAATGGGTGTGTGAATATGATGTCAGAAACAAAATTATAGTGGGTGTGTGAATACTGTTGGCTCTATAATTGCTAAATCCATTTTCAACTGCTACTCCACCCCCTTGTACTGTTATTTTATTTCAATACTGAAAATTGTTTAGTAATATTTATTCTTGAGATTCGGTATTATGTCTTTTTTTAAGATAATTTTAAATTTTTCATTACCTAAAAGAGTGCAGAAAACCTGCTACAACTAACAAAAGAACCAACACAATACCCACCCATTAAGAAGAAATATCCCAACCCACACAGGGCTGGGAATTTACACCATCAAATCTAGCTATATGTTTACCACTAAGTTGTATGCTAACATTATCCTTGTTCAACCCTAAGATAACATCAGCAGAACGAGACGAATTCCGGAAGACCATGTAATTCCTCTCAGACCACACAAAATACAAATGGATACTCCAAGAAATCTTCAGAACGAGGGAGATCAAAGTTTTACCTTTTAGAAGGGAAACAGTCCATCAAAGTTCATGGTCCCACGCCATAGCTAGACGAGAAATATTACACAGTCTCAGGACACCTTTCCAGACCGACTTCGAGAATGCACATGAGAACAAATGATCCCTAGACTCATTGTGCCCACAGAACCCACAATGACTGTCAACCGATATACCCCACCGCAACAAACGATCCTTAGTAAAGAGTCTACCCAAGACAGCAAGCTAGGCAATGACAGTATGTTTAGGCACATAGAATGGAAACCACACCAACTTATGCGAAGGAACAACCACACTCTTCACTCGAATCTCAGACCATATCCAGGACGTAGTAACACCCCTTCAGTCTTCTATACCCCAAGCACAAGAAAAGCAGCTTTTCTCGCCTTGAGGATCTTCCTCGCACACCAACTAAAGCGGTCCTTGGAAGCAGCGTGCCAAAAACTAGCACCCTGCAAAACGTAAGAATGAATCCAGGTTAAGGGTGCTTATGAAACGAGTCGATTACGAGTTGAACAGTGCTCGACTCGTGCTCGTTAAGAAAATTTCATCCTTCATAGCCCTTACCCATTCTGGATGTTGAATGGCCTCATGATAAGATTTAGGTTCAACAGGATGCAAAATGGAGGAAACAAAAGCTTGTGTAATGAGAGGAAGATGATTATAAGAAATAGAATCTGAAATGGGATAAGCAGAAGTAGAAACAGAATCGCAAATGAAGTCATTCAACCATTGAGGTTGTTTAGGAACCCTAGTAGACTTCCTAACCAAGACTGGAGCTATTGGACCTAAAGCAGATTCTGATTGTTGTGATGATTGCCCATGTTCAGTTATGAAAGAAGAATCAGGTGGTACAGCAGGAACATGTTGTTGACCAAAAGAAAGAACTAAGAACTCAGAATCAGGAATAGAAGGATTGGAAGGGGAAAAAAGGGATCTGCCTGAACAAGAAAATGAAAAGGAAACACCTATTCATGAAAAATAACATCCCTGTTGACAAAGAACTTCTTAGAGGTAATATCAAACAAAAGATAACCTGTAATACCTCAAAAATTTAGATAATGACCAAAATGTAAATTTTGGAAGTTTGATAGCCAAAGTATAAAATTTGGAAAACGTTTAGAGAATTAAGTGAAAATTTTCCTAAAAAAATTATATTTCATAAATATATGGTTTACTCTTGAGATTGGAGTTTTATGGAAATCATATTGTTAGATTTGGAATTTAGTAAAGAAAGGGTTAAAGCTGGTAAGGAATCGGTAAATTCCGATCGAATTGGAATTCTACAAAAATTTGAAGGATGTTATAAAATGGTTGGAAATATTATTTTAATATTTTGGATCAGAGAAATTTGGTCTGGAAGTGTGCAAATTTTCAGATTTAACCGAAACAGTGGAATTTAGTGACTAAATCGCAAGTTTTGAAAATTTCAGGGCATTTTCGTAGGTCAAAGTCAAATTAAATTATATTTGACTTTGTAATAATCAGATGACTTGGTTTTTTTGGTAAATAAGAAGATTCATTAAGGGTGATTTAGTCTTATTCCAATTAAATGAATTTTATATTCATTTAAAGTTAGATATAATCTAAATTAAGATGAAATGTTTCCTAAATTTCATTCAAATTTGCTCTCTTCTTCTCCAAAACAGACGTCGTCTTCTCCTAAGGTAAGAGCAAGCTTTAACTCAATTTTCAAGCAATTTCTTTAGGATTATGAGTATGATGAAGATAGAAAATTGTTATATGTGAAAAAGGCTATCATTTGGTACCAATATTGCATGATAATCTTGCTTGATTCAAATATCCCCAAATCTGGAAATTTGGGTTTATACAATGGTTTTTGAAATTGATGATGATTGTTGATGATTTTGAGGTTGTATGAAATGATGAAGAACATAAGGATGAGATTAAAGAAAAACAGTTTAGATTTTGGGAATTACAGTGGGTTCGAAAATTCACCAGAAAATATATAAAAATAATTTGGAGGTTATTTTTATATATTGTGTTTATATATGGATCTAGTTTGGTTTAAAACAAACGGGGATCAATTTTAAGTTGTATACAAAAAGATATGAATTTTTAACCAAGGAAATGTCAGAAAAATCGGACAGCAGAATTCTGTACAAAACAGATTCTGTTGGTGAACTTTGAAAATTCACCATAAATTGTACAGAATGAATTAGAAGGAGTTATTTATATGGATAGATTCGTATTCGAGTCTAGTTTTTAAAGAAAGAAACGGAATTGAATTCCAGTGTATATATCAATACAGAATAATGATTCTTTAAGGGTAGTACGAATTGTCTGAATTCTGGAAAATTGATGGGTTATTGTATAAGTGTTGTATAATTGATGTACTATGCTGGAAATTGTTGTTCAGGAATTGAAATGAATGTTAGATGTGAAATAATTTCAATACTGGAATTTTTGGTATTAAGAATCTAGGTGATAAAATGGTGAAGGACCATTTTGAGTAAATTGGAAAAGTGGGTTCCAATGTTAAAGGAATTAATAAGTACTGAATTATTTGGTGGAAATGAGTTTGAAGTATGCTATGGAATTATTTTGGGATATGGTTATGTTAGTACAATACTAACATATGTATTGTTATAAATTTGTGATTTATACAGATCATGGTTGATTTGCAATTGAACCAAGTCAAGTATAAAAAGGGTATATTGTGGACAATAGTGAGGCTCATATATTTTTGAAAGACATAAAGTGTCAAGGTGAGTGCAATACATGCATGAAATTATACATGGATGTTCTATACATCATAAGGAAGACTTGCGATAAGTCAACCTTGTTTATATCGGCATGATTTTATATCATTTTTTATAAATTGACATTGAGATGTCAGAGTATGAAATTAAAATGCATTGATCATGAAAAAAATGTGATATTTTACCATGAATGTTTTCGGGTATGAACTGCCCAATGTTAAATTTGATAATATACTTTGTCATGGATGGATCGAATAAAATAGACTATATGCCCAAGTAAGTCGTTGAGGGACAGGGTATAGTTGGCATGCCATAGAGTATAGCAGCTGTAGGTTTATAATACACTTCGGTGTATATGGTGGGCACGACCTTATGTGTAATACACTTCGGTGTATATGTTGGGCACGAACTTATGTGTAATACACTTCGGTGTATATGGTGGGCACGGCCTTATGTGTAGCACTACGGTGCAAATATTACTCGAATACCCAGGGTCCTCAGGATTGTATATTGGGCTATAGGCTATGGTTTATGGTTTATTGCTTAATAAATGGTAAACATACAAATAAGCTTACAAGCTTTTGGAATAATGGCAAGTATATGGGTAAAATAAGCTTACGAGCTTATGGAATTTAAATGGTAAGTATTTTGGTAAAATAAGCTTACGAGCTTATGGAATTTAAATGGTAAGTATTTTGGCTTACGAGCTTATGGGATAAATAGTAAAGGATTTTATATTATTTTGATCATGGTAAAATGATTTTATGGAAACTCAATTTTTGACATTGAAAATCTTGCATGAATTGTATTGCACTGTTAAATGTTTTAATTGTCTCACTAAGTTTATACTTAGTGTGTGATGATTTTCACGCGTAGGTAAAAAGCATGTAATGGAATAAAGAGTTCAAAGTGACATCGAGCATCGGGGAGTATATTTCAATATCAATAAGACATCCTATTGTGAAATTTGATTTTAGATAGTGGCATGTAATTTGAAAATGTTCAATTTATTTGTTTAATTAATTCTGGAAATTTTTATAATGATGAAAGGTGAATTTTTATGAATTTATATGTAAATTTTCGGAAGTTACTGTAGCATGAACAGTAACCACGGTTTTAAGCAAAATTTTCTAGATTGTAAAAGGGGTACCGATTCCCCTGCTACAGGGAATCGATTCCCCCACTGTTCACTATTCACGGATACTATTCACTATTCATAAATAAAAATATTTTGAGTTAAATTGTTATAACGAAACGTAATTTTTATAATATGATATTTTTATAATATCATTTACTATTTTAAGAAAATAAATTTTAAATTGCACTCAAATTATAGAATGGTTTTAGAAAATACGGGTGACATCTATAATATGTATAGGTATAATTATACGGGTTATGAGTGTTACATAACCTTTTTGAGTATTAAAATATCCCATGAAAACAAAAGGTAAGGCTCTAAGAGCAAATTTATCAGTTGGTTTAAGGTCAGTAACATCACTCAAACAACCAAAAACTCTAAGGATAGACATATCATGAGGTTTGTGATAAAGAATTTCATAAGGAGTTCTCCATTGCAAAACAGAAGAAGGACGTCTGTTTATAATGAAACAAGTTGTTAACACACATTCACCCCAAAATTTAATAGGCACCTTTGACTGAAAACGTAAAGCCCTAGCTACTTCTAAAAGATGTATATGCTTTCTTTCTGCAACTCCATTCTGCTGTGGAGTCTGAACACAAGAACTCTGGTGCAAAATACCAAGAGAAGAGAAAAAAGT